CCTGTCCAGGCCACCAAGGACCTTCTGTTGCCCAGTTTAATCCAATGGACACTTCACTGTCCCCACCTCACCTGCTTCTCAGCAGCCTCCACACTGACCTCCCCTCTGGGCCCCAGGTCGTCCTGCTGTGACTCACTCCTCCTGGTTTCCTTGTGACCTCGTGGCCCTCCCTACCTGGCCCCCTTTGCCGGCCCCTCATCCTCTGTCTGACCTTGTGCAGCCCCAGTTCTCAGGAGAAGGCAGGAATGAGTGACTCACCCACAGGTCCCCAGGATCCCCTTCATGCATTCCCCCCAGCAGATGTGACAGGGCTGTTTATTGGTTTCATTTATGGACCTTTGTGCAGCCCTGAGCCACACTGTCTCCACACATCTCGAGCTCACCTGTGGATGAGGAAGGCAATATGTAGACAGTGTCCAAGAGAGCAAAGTTCTATGAAGGAACATAAAGCAAGAGGAGGGGATAGAGTGCATGGTGGGGGGACAGGAAAAGAGCAGGAGTAAAGGTCTTGAGGCAGGACATGCTTCTTCAGGAGGATGGGCCATGAGGCTGGAGCCCAGTGAGCAAGAGAGAGCGCGTTAGGATAAGAGTCAGAACCATAGAAGCATCCAGAGTCCCCAAGGCTCGGGAAGGCCCTGTAGATTCCACCAGGAGAGGGACCTGATCTATCTAAAGTGTAAACCATCTCTCTGGCAACATGAGAATAATTGACAGAAGGATTTCTACTGTGGAATCAAGGAGTCGCTGTGCTGTCTCACTGTCTCCAGCAGAACCGGCAGGATGAAGGCCCCCAGGGAGTGACGTACACCCAGGTGAACCGCTCCAGACCAAGACCCAGGCAGCGAATGGCCACCTCTCTTTCACCTCTGTTGGGGGGTTTGCTGGACACAAGGGGCAGACAAGCAGAAGAGGACAGACAGATGGACAGTCAGGTGGGTTCTGTCCTCTCCAGACCTCTAGGTTTTCCCCGACCCCCACCATGTTTCATCCCTCTTTCTCCCCCTGCTCAGGCTGCTGCTCGTGATACCCCCCAGTATGTGACGTATGCCCAGTTGAACCTCTTGGCCCTCAATGAGAAGACAACTGCACCCCATTTCTCCCCATCTGATGAGCCCCCCGATGAGCACGTTGTGTATGCTTCTCTGTCCATCCACTAGCCCTGGAAGGATGCAGACCTCACATTTCAGGAAGGGGACCTGCATATACTCGGAAAGGCCAGAATGCTACCCCATGGATACTTGGCTAGTGCCCCAGGCTGGAGGCCTGATGTGGAACACCCAAAGCTCCTGGGGCCTCTGGGAGTCTCCAGGTTTATAGTCAAAGATAACCTGTATCTCTACCTTTTGCAAATAAAGCAACAGACTTCTCAATAATCAATGTGTGAACCCAAAACAGAAGTGAATATTTTAAATTATATTATAATGTAAACTAGTGGCCCGGTGCACGAATTCTTGCATGGGTAGGGTCCCTCAACCTAGGCAGCATTTGAGGCCATGAGGGGCAGGCAGCCTGCTGGGGGGAGGGACCATGAGAGGTTGGCCCCAGCAGCAAGCTAACCAACGGCCAATTCCACCAGGAATCGGGCTCCCTCCTCCCTCCTCTCTGGGTCCAGGGTGCGGGTGAACAAGATTCAAGGCCATCAGGGCCCCAGAAGCAAGGTCTGGGTCAGTGCGCATCATAGCTACTGGGTGGTCATCCAGTCATTCCCGTTGTTTGGTCATAACAGTCACTTAGGCTTTTATGTAGATAGACAGCAGACCTATGAAATAAGAAAACTGAAAACCGTGAATAAATATATTGGAAAAAGGAAAAGCCTTAAATATTCAATGTCCTAAGCTATTATATCAAGAATTAGAGGCCTATGGTGTGAGCTGGGTGGAGGGGGAAGTGGAGGGAAATAACGGACATCTGTAATACTGTCAACAATAAAAATAAACCAAAAAAAACTTAGAAAAAAATGATTGCATTGAATCCTAGATGACTGGATATGCAAGAGCCTCTCTAATGGGACTGGGCCCAGAGGGTCATGTCATGTCAAGGGGAGGTGGGTGCCCTGGGTGGGCAACCAGGTTCCTCAGGTGATTTTGGTCTGCCCTGCCCTCTGTGACCTGTTTACCTACAATTCTTAGTTTCCCACCCTCATGACTACACCGTGGGGATGTGCCCCCCTCCACCCGGTTCCTGCCCCACCCCAGGCCTTTTGTGAAGGTCTGACCATTCAACCATACAGGATGTGGTTCTGCAACAATTTACATTTAATTGTGCGTGTTACTGTCCTTGAAGAAGAACAGTCCCATCCGGATGGGTGTGGTTGCCTTGCTCCTGGTGATGCTCGGGGTGCTGCCATTTCTGGCTCGAAACAGCCAGAGAAGGACCCACAATGCCGCCAGCGTGTGAACAGAGAGGAATCAATGCACGGTTCAGAGAGGGCTCACCTTGGAACCCATCTGGATGTCTCAGGATGTGGTGGAAGAGACTCAGAGGAAGACAGGAAGTATTGTGGGGTCCGGAGTGGGTGTGAGGGACCCCGAGTTTGTAGAACTACCTGCTGATTTTTCTAGTAGAATCAACATGGTTTGGGTGCACAAAAATGTCTGTGGGCTCCCTGTACAAGCTTCTTCCTCCATTAAGTGTGTATTTTCTCTCTGTGTCTTGGTTGACTTTCTGTGATGACCTTTCTCTTCTTTCCTCACCCCTGTGACTTGAGGGTCCATCCCACATGGCAGGTGTGGGTCCTCACATCTAATACCGCATGCTCTCCTTCACTGTTATTTCTGCTTAGAAAATTACATTTATTGTGGTGAACCTTGTTTAATAAATTGCACAAGTTTTGAATGTACAATTCTATAGTACAACATCTATATATTTTTTTATGGGTTACCATGTTATTTACTTTTTATCACCACATGATCAGATGGGTGTTGTTGAGTCTTCTCTTCAGTTCACAGGACTTCACCTGAATTCAGTAACTAAATAACTCGGGCAGTGTTGCTCAGTGGTTGAGTGTCATCCTATGAACCAGGAGGTGATGGTTCAATTCTGGTCAGGGCACATGCCTGGCTTGTGGGCTTAATCCCTAGTAGGAGGTGTGCACGAGGCAGCTGATCAATGATTCTCTCTCATCATTGATATTTCTATCTCTCTCTCCCTCTTCCTTCCTCTCTGAAATTAATAAAAATATATTTAAAGAAATTAACTAAGTGGGCAGAATTAGATACAAACCTAGGAAAGAGAAATTTAAAATGATGCCTCACACCCACTCTGGACCCCACAATACTTCCTGTCTTCCTCAGATGACACAGGATATTGGGGTTTAATCATTGTTTACATTTTTTTGGTCAGAAATTGCATTTTTAAAAAATATATTTTATTGATTTTTTACAGAGAGGAAGAGAGAGTGATAGAGAGCTAGAAACATCGATGGGAGAGAAACATCGATCAGCTGTCTCCTGCACACCTCCCACTGGGGATGTGCCTGCAACCAAGGTACATGCCCTTGACCAGAATCGAAACTGAGAACCTTCAGTCTGCAGGCCAACGCTCTATCCACTGAGCCAAACCGGTTAGGGCAGAAACATTGCATATTTGTCATTCACTTGTAATACATGGTGCACATGATCTTCATAAACAACCTCACCAGCGAAGTCCATTTCTATATTTCCCTCTTGTCTTGAAGACATACCCAATCCCCTTGCATGGTGGACAGTGCCAGTGTGATCTGTTTCCACCTTGCTTTCTCTCATCTTCCCCCTTCAGAGAGTCCTTATGTCTGTTATGATATCTGGATGTTTTTTTCTTTGTAGAATGTTCCCCCCTGCCCCTTAGGACTTCACCTCCTCAAACAGCCACCGTTCCCTCAACCACAGTCTAGTCCTGGGCCCAGTTGTTCTAATATTTTCTCTCTCCTCTCCTTTGTACATACATTAATTGCAACATGAACCTTTGAATGCTCAAAGGCTGCTAATCTGAAGTTTCCAAATGCAGGAAATGAGTCTTTGTCAATTAGCTATTTCTGGTGACTGGTATACATACTGGTAGAAGGTGATGAGTAAATCTTTGCATATGGCCTTGCTAAAGGCAGAAATTAAATTTTAAAAAAATATTTATTAATTAATTATCTTCATTGTTGAGAGCATTACAGATGTCCCCCACTTTACTCCCAATTGCCCCCCCCCCCCCCC